ATGGACTTTTTGAAGACCCTTTGTATTTGGAAATAGGGTGACTGTGGAAATAGTTAAGATTAAATTATAACCAGAGTAAGATGGACCATCAACCTAACATGACTGGTGTCCTTATAAGAAAAGTAGAGGGAGGACCAGCAGATGGCATAATGGTTACATTGCCAGACTCCCACATAGTCACCTGCAGTTCAAGTCCTGGACTTGGCAGCTTGATACTCATGCCGTGTGCCTGTGTGTACATGCCCAAATCTCAAGAGGGAAATGGAGGAAAAGGGATTGCGATGTGGCCATCCCTTCAGGGGATGTATATGTGTGATATACACCCTGTTGGGGGTGTATATGTGTGATTTCTCACTTTCTGTCTCTCTGGTGAGTGCACACACCCTATAGCAAAAATCTCTCTGTAAAAAAAGGAGAGGAGGCACATAGGAGAAGGTCATGTGATCACAGAGGCAGAGATTGGACTGAAGTGTCTGCAAGCCAAGAAACACGGAAGATCGAAGGCCACTGCCAGAAAAGAGGCAAGGAAGAATTCTTCCCTAGAGCCTTTGGAGAGCAGGGCCTGCAGACACTTTGGTTCCAGATTTCTGTCAAGTGTCTAGCCTCCAGAACTGGGAGACAATGCATTTCTGTTGTTCTAAGCCACTTAATTTGTAGTGCTTTGTTACAGTATCCCTAGGAAATTAATTACTGCCTATTCATAGAAACGTTGGAAAATACACTGAAGGATAACCACCCATAATCCACCAAGCGGGTAACCACTGTTCTAACTTAGAGTGTCTACCCTTGAGTTTTGCCTGCAGCCTCACACCTATGGAGATATTTCTTTCCTCACAAGATGGAGTCCACCCTGTAGGGAATATTGACATTTAAACAGAAGACAGACAAAAAAACAGGTATTGAAAGGAAATGGTTTTGTTTTCTTAGGGTAGATTTTTAGGAATTAGGGCACCTCGGCAGGGCACATTTTCTTGGGGAAACTGCCTGTTGAGACAGAATGGGTGATAATCCATGAGATCCCTATGGAAAAAAGCATAAGAGGGACAACATGAACTCCCTCTTTTTGTTCTGGAATTCTTTTTGTTCGTCCTGGAATCAAACCAAAGTCTGCTGTAATGGTAAGCACAGCACCTAGATCCTCTCCAGGGTTCATTCATGTCACTGAATCCACCCTCATCAGGTCCCGAAGACTGAGGACAAATGCTTCTGTCCCCTCAGAACAACCTGGCCTCTTTTTCTCACCTTGACCTTGCAAAATGTTTCCCAGGATGGGTAGATTTATGCTACTGCCCAGCATCCACTACAGCTTTGTTAATAGCTCTTTTCACAATGTACCAATTAGTGTGTTTTAAATCTCTTCTGAAGTAATGGAAATTTTAAAAATTGTTCCGGAAATTGCAATAAAAATGAAATGGCAGCCTTCCTAATGTGCTGCAGTTTTGATAGAGACACAATTTAAAAGAAAGGTAAGTTTAATGGCACTAATTGGTAGACTTGTGGAGTGGTTTCATTGTGAGAGCTCCCTGCCCCCTTTTAACCATGCACTACACCACTGCATCCATGGTGTTGGCAGTGACCTCATTTGGCACTTATCTTTTGGCAGGCAAGCCAATAGACCCTGACTGAACCAGCGTTGGGAGAGAATTCTTAATATATGCCAAGGACTTAGACGATATATTACATACAGATAATGACCCAGACTCGGGTGGGGTCAGTGGGTATCATGAACTCTAGTCTCCTCTTCATCCATCATATAGTTTTCTATGAGCATTGTGCCTGCTCTTGCAGGAAAATAGGTCTTTTCCCTCCTCCTTCTGCATTCTCTAGATGCCAGCAGGAAAGCAGGTGGAGCTGCTTCTGGACTCAGGAAAGCAGGTGGAGCTGCTTCTGGAATTAACTGCACATGTGCTGAGCATTTGTCTCATTTGGGTCTTACAAGGTGCATGTCTCAGCTAGCTCTTCATGACTTTTCACGCCTAAAGAGAGTGTGTGTGTGGACTAATCCATGCTGTACATTATGGTATTTGCTAAACTGTGTGTGTGTGCACAGTTCATGAGGTTTGACTGTTAGAATAATATTAACCTACCTATTTTGAGTTTTTCATCATCCCTCAATTGTTCTGATACCTGCTGAGGCTAAAGTCCATGTTTACATTTGAGATGGATTTCGGCTTTCCAAGGGCCCATGTGTTTCTTCTGGGCAGGAGCATAGTCATCCCATTACAGACCGAATGAACCCTTGACTGAAATGATTTAAAGTTAGATGGTCTGTATACCAAACACTTTGTACTTCTCAAAGCACAGGCTGGCTCTTCTCTGTAAAGACTGCAATTTTTAGGGGTACAAAACTTCACGTAGCCTTTGTTTTTCTCTTGGAGATGTGCATAATACCTTATTTGCCCTATACAGAAGGAGTTATAGTTCCATGAGGACTGAGTACATAGTAAACCCATTTTTTGTTTATATTTGATAATATAATTGCATCATTTTTACGAAATCAGAATGGAGTTATAGTTTAGGACTCAAATTACCTGCCTGTACCGTTTAAACTGTCCACTCTAATAATCTTAGGTAGCTTTAAGAAAGGTTGAGTAATGTGGCTGCTATATTTCTTAGCTGAGTTCTTGGAAGGAAAAGTGAATTAAATATCACGTATATGATGATTCATTTGGGTATATTTGAAGATCTATTTAAGACTGATTTTGAGAACTAATTTTGGCCAGCCATGTTTATGCAGTGCTATCACAATGCTCTGAGAGGTTGAAGCCACATGGGAAAGTTCCAAGTTTGTGTCTTGAGATCTCTTCTGCACGCTGGATGTGTGCATGAGTGCTTGTGATCCAGGCTGGTTGAGGCTGGGGATGGAACTACAGCATGAAGACCCCATTGGGGGTGTCCCCCTCTGCCTACCTCTCTCATGGAAGAAATAAAAACATATAAACTAACAAAATCTTTCTCAATTTTTGGCTATTCTTTCAGGATTATGTGTGTATGGTATTTTGCATTATCAGCACCAACAAGGTGGAATTGATTGTCCTTTTCATTCTTTCTTTCTTTTTTTTTTTTTTTTGAGAGAGATTTTTGCTGCACCGTGCATGCACTCACCGGAGAGACAGAAAGGCAGAAAGTGAGAAATCACCCACCAGGGGGATGGCCACACCACAATCCCTTCTCCATTCTCCTCTTGGGATTTTGGGCATGCACGCACACATGCCCAGCATGAATTTAAGCCATTGGGTCTGGGACTTGAACAGCAGTGGACCACGTGGGAGTCCAGTGATGCAACCATTACATCTTCTGCTGGTCCCAGTTGTCCTTTTAATTCTAATTTGGAGATAAATCATTCCACAACTGCAGTCTGGATTTTAGACTCCAGCCCTACAAGCAACACTATTTTTCCTGGGAGAATTAGGAACCTCAGAGAATGCTTTGAGACACTGATCACATATTGAACATCAGATTTTGGAGATAGGAAAAGCTATTTCACTTTCAGTGCCTGGCCTCAAGCATCTTAGTAACCCCAGGAGGAAGGCATCAGACAGTGCGTAGGCGGCACTTCCAGCCTCTTATGTACCGGATGCCTAATGAATATATTGGGAAGGATGGTAACTCGCTCACTGGGACAGCTTTTCCAGGGCATGATGGCTCTAGGTGGTGGGCACAATGTGTAAGTGAAATGTTCTTGCTCCTCTTCCATAACCTTTCAGTTTGCAAAGCATTGTGAGTACCCTGGTTCTCCAGGTCTTCTCAACTTTTAGGAGCTATAAGTTCCCCTGCCTGGCATAGCTGGTGCTAGCCCATCCTACTTTATTTGTGTGCAATGTGTTTACCAAGGCAGGCAGAGTCGCAGCTGAAGCAAGCTCAGGAAAGTCTCCCCACAGTAACTTCTTGCGCCTGTTTGCTCTGGAAATCAGGTGCAACTTGAGATGAGAAAAGATCCACACTCAGTTATAGAGAGGGGAAGACATTCAGTGTGTTGGGATTGGGTTCACGGGCTTCTTTCCTAAGAGTTTGTATTCCTTCTGTATGGTTATCAGATACATTTGCTCCTTTAAATAGCCGTGATTCTGGGGTGGAATCGAGACTCTCTGTTTAGTGTTAGAGTGTGATAATAATAATAACTGATGTGAACTGAGCCATTGGTAAGTATATTTCCAGCCTCAGTTTACAGAGAAGGAAAGTGAGGCTCAGAGTCTGTTCATAGATCATAGCTCAGAGGAGGTCAAGTGGGTCTAAATGTTGTCTTGGGGGTGAAGAATGTCTCTGTTTCAAGGTCAGACTGAACTCCAATTTGCACTTAATATTGGGAAAGGAGGTAGTCTATAAATAGATATGGTTCCGTCTAGATTTGATTCCAAACCTAATGGTGTGTGTAATTACATGATTGCTACTATTAGCATATAGCACTGTTTGCTGAGATGCCAAAGTTTGTGTTTCATGCAGGAAACTAGGCTAACAACCACAGTTTAACACAGTAATGCTGGTAATTAGCAAAGCTCTCACTTAACTAAATGGGCCATTTGCCTTGAAACCAGTGTGTAAATGGAAGTACAGTAATCTATCTATCATCCCAATCACCTCTGTTGTCAGTTTAGCCACTGGCTGTAGTTATTTCTTTATCTATCCAAACAACTCAAATAAACTGTACACAGGAAGCTTTAATAGAAGGGAGAAAGGCTGAAGTACTGATGGGAATTGTGGCTGGGCGACTCCAATCTCCATCCAGGATTCATTAGGCACCTATTTTTAAAAGGAATTATTAATTTAATTTATTATTATTATTATTTTATTTGACTGGAGAGAGACAGAGAGAGAGGGAAAGAAAAAGCAAGCCACCAGGTCTGGTACTCGAACTGTGGTTGGCTATGTGGGAGTCCAGTTCCTTAACCACCATGCCATCTGCCAACCCCTATTAGGCACTTATTGTTGAGCAAGGATGAGCCTCTGGGTCTAATTGTCATAACAGGCTGTAACCTGTTTCTTTCTCCCTTTCAATACAGATGTGGTGTCTGATTGGTCTCCTGTGCATGAAGCAGCAATCCAGGGACGTCTGCTCTCTCTGAGGAAGCTCGTCAGCCAGGTTGCTTTTTGAAAAATATGATAAATCTTAAGCACATCCCATTGATTTGCCACACTGTGGGAAAACAGTCAAAGGCTGGTATTAAGATACGGGCCCAGCCTGGTGGCGCAGTCCGTAGCATACTGAACTGAGGTGCTGGAAGTCTCATGGCCGACCATGGGTTTGGATTCCTGGGCTTGGCTTGAAAACATGCTGTGTGTGCACGTGCACTGTGTGTGTGTGTGTGTGTGTGTGTGTGTGTGTGTGTGTGCCCAAAGTGTTGATGAGCTGGAGGACCAGGGAAGGGGGATCATAGTGTGATGAGGCCCTATAGAGGGTGTTTTTCTCTCTCTCTCCCTCACTCTCACTTTCATGCTCATAAACACACACATTCTATTATGAATAAAATAAATAAACTTTTACCTGTTGAAATATCCATTTTGTAAGCCAAATAATAATGTGGTTGAATATATAAAAGAAAATGAAATAAAAAAGGAAAAAAAAAAGGAAAAAAAGATATATAAATGTCCTCTTCAAGGGACCAGCAGTTAGTGTAATGGCTATGTTGCTGGACTCCCACATAGTCGACCGCAGTTTGAGTCCCGGACCTGGTGGCTTAAACTCACACCAGGCGCGTGTGCGTGTGTGCCCAAGATTCCGAGAGGAGAATGGAGGATAAGGGATTGCGGTGTGGCCATCCCCCCTGGGGGCGATTTCTCACTTTCTGTCTCTCTGTCTCTGTCTGTCTGTCTGTCTGGCGAGCGCACGCGCCCTATTGCAAAGTCCTCTCCAAAAAAAGAAAAAAAAATGTCCTCTTCAGCAAAGTGAGTTCACTCTCATTTTATCTAACTGTTTACTTCTTTGGAGGTTTCCATAATATCAGAGTTTAGTATAATTCCAGGCAATAGTAGGTACTACACTATCTGTTGAGTGAGTAACTGGCAAATTAGCACATTCAAATTGTCTTTGCCTTATTTGGTACACTGTGTTCTTGAAAATTATCCTGCAATGGAAAGGCTCGGCCACTGTGGCACAGTGATAATGCAAGCACCCTGCAAGAGTGGAAGCCATCTGGTGACCACAGGGTCAGATCCTGGTGTTGGTCTGAAAACCTGCTGGGTGCAACTGAACACCCAGGATTCTGAGGAGCTGGAGGGCTTGGGAAAGGGGATCAAGGTGTGAGAAAAACTTGTTAAAGGTGTTTTTCTGTTTCTCTCTTGCACTTGCATGCATGTGCATGTGTACTCATGCACTATCATTAAAAGAAAAAAGAGGCTAGCCCTGTGGCCTGGGGGTTAAGGGGTCCAGATCCCATATGGCTCACTGTGCCATTGAATCTTGGCCCCAGCACCTTGAAAAACACTCTGGGGGTGCGTGTACATGTGTGTGTCTGTGCACATGTGCACATGCCCCAAATTCCAGAGACAAAGGGATTGTCGCGTGATCACGCTTCATGGTGGAGTGGTGCTTTCTCCCTCTCCTCCTTCTCAGTCTTTGTGTCTATCTGGTGAGTACGTGTGTCCTCTGGCAAAAAAAAAAAAAAAAAAAAAAAGGAAGAAAACTATTATGTAAAACAGTGATTCTCAACTAGGGCAATTTCACTCTTCAGGGGACATTTGATAATGTTTGGAGCCACTTTTGGTTGTCACACTAGGGTGCTGGTGGTGATAATGGCATCTAGTGGGCGGAGACCAAGGATGTTGCTAAATATCACAGAGTGCACAGGTGCACAGGACAGCCTCCACATAAAAAATTACCCAGCCCAAAATGTCAGTAGCGCTGGGTTGAAAACCCCTGATGTAAAATAGATGCTTGAAAATGTCATTTTTAAATATATAGTTTATAATTTCAAAGACATTTCAGTTCCATTAAATCCTCAGTTGACAGTGGCTCTGAATGGTTTGATTTTAGTTTCTCAGCTCCTCAGATGTAATTTCAAGTACACATTGATTTTTGAGTTCTGATGGTTTCAAATTCTTGGGAAAACCTGAGCAAAGGCACTTTTAAGAAAGCACTTTAAGTAATCATTCAAAATGATCATAAAGTTTTTGTTAAAAAAGTTCTGTTCTTTGAAAAGACACCAAGTTAAGTGCTGTCAGCCTTTCCTCTACCAATGGAACCCTTAGGCAGTCTGGAAAAGTCTATGGATCCCTTCTCAGCGTAATGTGGTAAATGTGTGCAATACAAATAGAAGAAACCTATCAAAACATTAAAACAAATGTGTGACATCGTATACGGGCTCTTTTTTTTTTTTGAGAGATTTTCACTGTAGGGCGCGTGCGCTCGCCAGACAGACAGACAGAGACAGAGAGACAGAAAGCGAGAAATCACCCCCCAGGGGGGATGGTCACACCGCAGTCCCTTCTCCTCCATTCTCCTCTCAGGATCTTGGGCACGCACGCACATGCGCCCGGCGTGAGTTTAAGCCACCGGGTCCAGGACTCGAACCACGGTCGACTATGTGGGAGTCCAGCGACATAGCCATTACGCTAACTGCTGGTCCCCGTATATGGGCTCTTTAAATGAATTCATTAGAAAAGAAGATCTAATGGTGATTTTAATAATAACTACAATTTCTAACGAGGATCAGCATGTGCTTCAAGATATTTTAGATATCTGCAGCCATCGTAATGCAATAACAGCATCTGTGCTCGCTATCGGAGATAGTCCTGCATACTGCTGTTAGTGAGTGGTATGTTGTCTACATTCATAATTGAAGGATATGCTAAAATTCAGGTAGAGGTTAGTGAAAATAAGTGAGTATGTTTACAAAATTCTCATTTCATGAACGAGTCTACATTAAGAAACCCTCCTAAAACAAAGCAGTTGCCAGAGAACAACACATCATACTACCCTAAGCAACTGTCGTGTGTCATCTGTTGGTTGCGGCAGCCTATTACAAATAGAGCCATAGGTTATAACACATCGACTCTAGTGAAAAGAAGTTAGGCTGCTTCTCAGGTGAAACATTGACCCTGTTATATTGCATGTATGTTTATTTATATTCAATATTCTTGTGATTACTGAACGTCAGCCAGAACCATGTCTTTATCTAAAGCTCTGTCATATTATGTGAGTTACCTTCTTGGAACCTCAGTTTCTGCCTTCATCAAGTGAGTGTTCTAATACCTACCTCTACTCCAAAACTCAGTAGCATAATACAGTAAACACTATTTCTTAACTGATGTTCAGGTCAACTGATTTAGGCTGGGCTTGGCTAGACTTGCTCCAAGCTGTGGGTTGGGTTCAGCTCTGCTGCACTTGTCTCCTGCCATTGTTCATGGACCACTGGCTACTTGAGGAATTTTCTTCTCATGGCAAATGACTGGAGCATAGCAAGGCAAGCCCAACCATGCAAGACTACTTCAAATTTTTGCTTACATCATATCCTTTAATATCCATTGGTCAAAGCAAATCCCATGACCAAGACTAACATAAAAGTCAAGGACGTATATTTTGTCAACTATGAGGTCATGGAAAGGGTCTGTTATACTGCTACAGGAGAGTAAACAGTCTAGTATGTTAACTTATAGGGATTCAAGAAAATTAACTGAGATATCACATGTAAATTACCTAGTCCAGTTACTAACATCACAAATGGTATTTATTTTCTTATTACAATCTACATAGCACTTTGCGTAATAAAAGAATACTGAAAAACACTATTGCTAAACTAAACAAACATATTTTAGTGAAGCAAATGGAACAAAACATTAAAATGGCTATAAAGCAAAGTAAAGGAAGAGAAAATATAAGAAACCATTCCCATCAGTTCCAAGAAGGGAGAAACTGAATCTGTAACTAATTGTTATGTATCATGGCTTTACCTGAAAATAATCCAATGTGGTTTTTAAAAAAGAACAATGCTTGGGGCCGCTGGCTGGCCCCATTAGTATTTTTTTAAGCTTATTTATTTCTTCCCAGAGAAGGAGAGAGAGTGGAGAGATACAACACCCCAATAGGGTCTCGACACCATAATCCACCCCTAGCCTTCAGCAAGTCCCAGATCATGGGCAAGCACCTGCCTAATATACTCAGGGAAGTCTCTGGACTTGAACTGGGAAGGAACCTCATGTGGAATTGCCTCATAGAATATTGGGTTTTACTATTTTTACTCTTGTACCACTGTCTGACCCCTGCATTTTTTTTTCTGCATTGGAACTTTTTAAAGTTCCTGTAGAACTACCATGTTTAAGGGCAAGAAAAAGCCATTTTGATAGTCATAGGAGAGAGGCATTGGACATGAAAGGAAGAGTATGAGAAAAGGAATAGAAAGAATAATGAGTTTCATTTCATGAAAATAAAGAACGTGTTCATCGGACCAGCAGTTGGTATAATGGCTGTGTCACTGGACTCCCATGTAGTCGACCGCAGTTCGAGTCCTGGATCTGGTGGCTTAAACTCATGCTGGGCACGTGTATGTGCGTGGCCAAGATCCCAAGAGAAGAATGGAAGAGAAGGGATTGTGGCGTGGCCATCTCCCGGGGGGAGGGGGGATATCTTGCTTTCTGTCTCTGCCTCTCTCTATCTATGGAGGATCCCCCAATGCTTTGGTCTTGTATTAGTTATCTCTTGCTGTGCAACAAATTATCCCCAAATTTAGCAGCTTAAAGCAACATACATGGATTAGTTCACAGTATCTGTCAGTCGGAACCTATAGGTAGTTCACTGGGTCAGGGACTCTTGTGAGTCTGCAATGAAGTGGGCCAGAACTCTACTCCTCTTAAGGCTTGACTAAGAGAAAGGAATGCCAGGCTCACTTATGTGGCTGGTCCAAGATTCTCTTCTCCCTGGGTTGTTGAACTGAGGGCCTCGGTTTCTGTTCAGCTGCTGGTTGCAGGCCACCCTCAATTTCTTGTCATGGATCTCATCAGAATAAGTAAGCCAATTAGTGAGAGGGCAAGAAAGAGAGAGAGCAAGGTGAAAGACCTTTTATGATGTAATCATGAAAATGACTGCCTCACTCATGTACGTATTGTCTTCATTGGAAAGAAATCTCTAGGTCTAGCCTTCATTCAAGGGGAGGGGATTATACAGGACTGTGAATAACAGGATACTGGAATCACTGGGAGGCTCACAGGTCAGAGACTTGTAAGCATGGCAAGTTGAAGTTCACTTTATTCTTTTAAACTCTTATCATTCTCCATTGCATACTTGTCACTGCCAGTAAGTACTTGGTAAAGCTCTCTTTTAGAGTGGGCAGACTGGGCTGGGGGGGTCTGGAGGGCATCTTATTTAATTTTTTGGTTGGGGAACTGTATGGTTGGTTGGGGGAACTGTATGGTTCTGGAAGTGATGCAGACCCATGGTCATTATACTGGTCACTCCCTGCTAGCGTTGTCTTGCTGACCAGTTCTATACCTTTGCTTTCATTTTTATTTTAAGTTTATTTTTCTTCCATGAGTGATAGAGGAGTGAGAGACAGAAAGACAGGCACCCTCAACAGGGCTTCACACCACCCCTAGTCTTAGCTGGCCTGATTCATGGGTGCACCTAGTGTGTTCAGGGAGGTCTCGGGTTGCAAACTCAGCACCTTTCCCATGTGGGTTCACTTGTATTACCACTGCATCCCCATCTGGCCCCAGTTCTGCACCTGTTCTTATTAACCATTCTTCTTGTGATTGGTTTTGGCCCAGTTCCATACCTAGGTCTGTTCTTTTAACCACTTGTGTCTGATGCCCTCACATAATTTCTGCATCATGTGACAATCACATCCCTCTTGTTGCATTGACAAAACTACTTTTTAAAAGTATGATGACTTTGTGAGAAAGTATGGTATTTTCTCCTGTCAACTGGACATTTAAGTCAGGTGTGAATAGTAAAGTGAGAAATTACATATTCTTTCCTTTGATCAAGACCACAGTTGGCAAATCCGTTCTCTATAAAGAGCTAGATAGTAAATATTTCAGGCTTTGCAGACCACACAGTCTCTGTGGCAGCTCCTCTACTCTGCTGTTGCAGCACAAAAGCTAGCATAGAAAAATATGTAAATGAACGGGCATGGCTGTATTCTGATAAAACTTAGTTTATGAATGCTAAAATTTGAATTTTACATAATTTTCATGTGTCACAAAACATACTTCTTGTGATTTCTTTTCATCCATTTAAAACGTACAGACCAATCTTAGCTACCGTACTGTACAAAAACACATTGTGGGCTGGATTTGGCTCATGGGCTGTCCTTTGCTGATTTCTTTGTCAAAAGTAGGGCAGAGCTAGGAAGGCCAAGAAAAAATTCTAAATGTCAGGGAAAGGAGGTTTATTTTCTTTTGAGAAAAAAATTGGGATGTAACTGATATTTTTGTTATGTACATGATCAAATCCTGTGTATTACTAAATACTTATATTTAATGAACAGTTTTTATTAGTTGATAAGCACATTTTAATTTCCTAAAGTTATAAAATGTATTTATTAAACTTCCTGAAAGGTGTTTATACTATACAGTATACTATATAGTATATTTCTATATTCCCTTGCAGTTTCACAATTTTCTTGTGATTGTCCCACAAGAAAGAGCCGCAAGTTACTATGATAAAATTTGACAATTACTTGTTAAATTTAGCGATTTGATCCAGGCTAGCTTTTTCTTTCCTTACTTGTTTCTTCTGTGAGAAAGACAGAGAGAGAGAGAGGTACATCTAACATGGTCTTCACACCAAAATCCACCCCCAACCTGAGCCAGCCAAGATCGACAGGCATGCCCATGGGCCTAATGTGTTCAGGGAGTCTCTGGTCATGAATGCCGGACTTTCCCATATGACCTTAGCATTGTGGATGGTTGTTACTGCTGTGCCACCATGGCTGGCCTGGTCTAGGCTCACTTGAAAATTTTTTATATTGAGAAATACTGTAAACAATTGTAGAAGAACTTAAACATATATATATACAATTTCCTTAATAACCCAGATGATAACCTTGCCATGTGACTGCCCCCCAGGTCAAGGAATGGAAGAATATTACTTTGCTGACTATTCCAAGGCATCCTCCCACCCACTCTCATTGTGCTTTTCTTTTTTCTTTTCTTTTCTTCTCTCTTTTCTTTTTTCTTTCTTTCTCTTTAAGACAGGATCTTGCAGTGTTGCAATTCCCCTGTCTCAGCCTCCTGAGTAGACAGACTATAGACATGCCACCATGTCCAGCTTTTAGGTTGGTCTGGGAATTGCACCAGCACATCCCATGTGGGCTCTGCCTACTGAATAGCAGCATCTTCCAGTGCCTACGATCACAGCTGGGCCTTGCTGTATTTTGTAAGGCACAATCCTGTGCCTGTTCCATAGAAGTAACTGTTACCAGACATTTTTGACTTTCTTTATGGTTTTATTTTCTGTGATAATCTGAAACAAGATAGATTCATTTTTCCCAGTGCTTTTTGTTTTGCTAAGTGATGTGTAAACTCCAGAGAGAGAGAGAAACAGAGAGAGAGAGAGAGAGAGAGAGGGAGAGAAGAAGTCCCCCCACCTTTGGGGCATAATCACACCACAATCCCTTCTATTCCATTTCTCCATCCTATTGGATTTTGGGTGCATGTTTTTGTGAGCACGCACACACACACTCACACACACACACACACACACACACACACACACACACATCCCTGGTGTGTTTCTCCAACTGCTGGGACTTGAACTGTAGAGTCGGCCATGTGAGTTCTGCCTGCTCCAACCATGAGGCCACAGAACTGGCCCAATTTTGACAAATTTTGACTTTTATATTGAAGTACTCATTCAGTATGCATTAGTTTGAATCTTTTACCCAACATTCTTGCAAACATAATCCTTGCAGTTGTTTGGAGTCATAATTCGTTCAGTGTAATAGTCCACTGAATGGTTATACCACAATTTGTTAATCCAGTTGACTGTTCAGCATTTGTGTTGTTTGCAGCTTTTGGCCACCATGGCCAATTTGGTTGTGAATGCTCTTGCATATGTATGTGTATATTTCTTGAGTGTGTATATACCTACAAGTCAAATTGCTGGGTAGTAGGCACTTGTGTGGTCAAGTGTAATAGACATGCCAAGCTGTTTGGTTGTACCACATTAAACTCCCACCAGCAGTGTGTGACAGCTCCTTTTTTATCATGACTGTCAATACCTTAGTGTACTGTCTAACTTTGAGTTAGGTTAACTTTTTGAAAATTTATTTTATTATTATCATTTTATACATTCAATCTCTATACATCATTTAGATCATAAAGAGAATTTACCCAGCATGAAATGCCCCTGAGCCTTTTAGAATTGTCATTGTACTAGAATTGTGACTGAATACCAACTCCGGGGCACTGTTGTTTGCACTTCTTTCTCTGCCCATTTCTTCTCTTCCAGGGGTGGCGGGTGAACCTCATCACAGCAGATCGTGTGACCCCTCTTCATGAAGCCTGTCTTAGAGGTCATCTCTCTTGTGCAAGATTTTTATTAAAGAATGGAGCTCAGGTAAGTACAGTTCAAATGACATCTTGGAAACCAGGAATGAAACATGACTCTTTCTATCCCTCTGAATAATGTCTAGTACTTTGATTAGCCTAATCTGAAATATGAAGAGGGAAGTTTTTCAGGAGTATTATGTCCATTAAACTTTTTTGCTTTAGTGATGGATGAAATACTGAATTTTTAGCTAGAAAGTCATGCTTAGAGTCTATAATTTACTTTATCAAACACTGCTGATCACTAACTGTTAGACTTCTGCCATCATTTGCTATGGCTAGAAGGTAGTGAACATACCACAGAAAGCACGTATCATTGGGCTGGGAAGTGGGGGGTGTCTGGGGAGAAAGAAAATCTCTGGGTGGCTCTTGCTGCTAGCAAGCAGACTGTACTTGTTCACCTGGTAGCAGGATTCCAAGAGCAGGAAAAGAGGGCAAGCTCCCTGCTTGCATCACACTTGCTACTGTCCCATTGGCCCAGGCAAGTCACATGGGCAAGGCCACATTCAAGGACTGGAAAACCAGTTTTTGTCTTGTGATAGGAGAAGTTGCAAAGCCACATTGCAAAGGGATCTGCATACTGGGGTAGAGAGCATCTGTGGACATTTTGGTAAAGTACTATGATGTAGAAAGTATTTACACTAAGCGGGTGTTGGGAACACACAGAAAGGTTCCTAACCCATCTATTTCTGTTGGGGAGAGAGAGAGAGAGAGTCTAAAGAGGCATTTTCTCCATGAAATGATATCCAAGTTGAAACCTAAAGCACCTGTTGGAGTTAGCTAAATGGAGGTTTGGGGGGAATTATGAGTTCCCTGGATACAGAAAATAGGAAGGCTTGGAAGTGAAAGTGAACAAATTTTTGTGACTTCTAGGTGATCTTAATGGCAGGAGAGTAGAGTGAGTGAGAGGGTTCAGAACACAAACAGCCTCGTTATCCATGGCAAGGAAATGAACTTTGGGCTAAGGATTAGTAAAGAGGCAGAAATGAGTGCATCTTTGGATTTTTATTTGGGATAAGGAAACTTTTTCAAAACTTGGAAGCAGAGCCAGGGCTAAGGTGAGGCAAAGGAGGCTTCCAGGGTATAAATATTTTTTTTCTTAAGTTTTATTTTCCTTTCCTTCTTTTTTTCATATTAGTTTCTACATTTAATGACTGTACATCTTTATAGCATACAAAATTAATTGTCCCATCATGAATAAGCTGCATATTAATCCATTCAAAGATATTATCATACACATTATCATCAATAGATAATTTTCCATTTTTGTGTCTGTTAAACATTTTGCTTCTTTCCCCTTGATTCCTTCCCTCCCTTCTGCTTTTCCGTCCATTGCCCACCCTCCTTCCATACTGTGTCTTGTATCCACAGTTGCTTTCCATGCTTTTATACCTTCTAATCTTTCAGTTTCTGCCGTAGAGTTCAAACATTCGGTATATATTAAGTAGGGGCATGCAATGCCTCTTTTTCATCGTCTGGCTTTTGTGTGACCTTGAGAATGAGTATCTCTTTAGCTTCTGCACCCTGGGCATCTTTTGTGTCTCACTCTAGTCCTGACCTTCCTAGGAAGTAGAGTGTATGAATGAGTATATTGTCTTAACAGTATCTGTGCTTAACAGATTCACTAAATAATTACTTAACAATATAGATAAATGTGTCTGCATTTGGCTTTCCTACTTACTATTCAGTGATAGCTCAAACACAATGGAGTTAGAAGTTAACTTTTAAATTTCTGTCTGCTTTCCAACACTAGAAAAGATGGCTTCCAAGATTATAGTTGTATGGCCGTATAGGACATTAACCAGTTTTGTATCTATAAGCAAGTGTATTTCAGCAGTCTATTGTCCAATTATTAATTGCCTGTTGAGCTAACCTTACCATCTTACTGGTTCCCTTATTATTAGGTTAAATAAAATTTTTGGCATGTATTAACTCTATTTGTATAAAAGTCATGATTTTAAAAGTTTTAAGAATGATTCTTTAACAATTTTAGGTTACTCTGGCTGCTGTCAGGAAACTGGGTTGGTATAGGATGGGTCTAGGATGAAAGTTTAAGGAGATTTGTTTGTAAGCTATTGAAATTATCCTAGTCAGTTTCAGAGTTCATATTCTTGGGGAGGGCATGGAGGAGACAGAACATTCAGTAACATTCTTGGTGCCTTACACACACTTGATAGCTCATTCAGTTTTTTTACAATCACATTGTAGAACTTGGTATTTCCCCCCTGTTTTATAGTTGTGAAATTTAAGGCTCAGAGAAGTTAAATAACATCTTAAAAGTGATGGAGTCTTTTTGAACCCAGGGCAACCCATTACCTGTTTTTATCCTGGAGCTTTTCATTCTAGGTGAACGCCATGACTTCTTACTGGCACACACCCTTGTTTAACGCTTGTGCCAGTGGCAAACTGGATTGTGTGAATTTGCTTCTGCGGTATGGAGCCAGCCCCAACCCTGAGAATGATCTGGCATCCCCCATCCATGAAGCTGCTAGAAGAGGTAAATATGTTGAGAATTTAAGTTTTCTACCCATTCCTCTGAGGGCCACCTTACTGTTGAAAGAAAGAGGGAAGAAGAGGTATATTTTAGAGTAGTGGATCTCAGTGGGATGCTGGGACCAAAAGCCCCAGCTTTCCCTGCCTGTAAATGATTCTTGGGCCCCATTGAGTCAAAAGCTGTGTGGGTAGAGCCCAGCCATCTGTGTTGTTGTTTAATAAGCCATCCAGGTGATTCTGATGCACAGTGAGTTTGAGAACCTGCATTTAGGCTATTTGCAATGTTTCCCACTGTATTCCTGGAACAGGGCCTGGTACATAGTAGACAATCCATCTGTATGGTTGGACTCATTACCCCATAGAAATCAAGTTATTTTATAAAATAAATGATCTTCAATTTTAGACCTTTAAGGAATATTGTCTCAGGGCCATCTAAGTTTGCCAAGTGAAGCAAACTTGCAATTTTCGAAACTGATTATAAAGTTCGGGGATAATTCTTCTCATAAAACCAGTTTTCCTGATATTCTTAACTCTGGGATCAAAAATAAAATGTGCAAGTTTTGCTTTTCTCTGATGTTTATCATCATCATCATAATGGTCATACCTTGCCTGAGGCTTTCCCAATGGCTTTCACAGAACAGCTTTCCAATTGACAGAATCAACCCATATTATAATTACCTCCCAAAGCATTGATGTTCCCTTATTGAAGGGCATACTAACTCATCATATTCACTGTGTCAAAAAATTAAAATAGTAGTATAAGGGAAACATGAAGTCACGAGGTTTAAAGTTTGACATTTTCGACCAAGGAAGAGCATTTGGCTTTCCCCCAGCTGGCCAGATGGGGCTCTGCTCATGATATAGATCTGGAGCTTCTAAGCCCTGCCTGTGTCCCTGTGGCCTATTTCTCCCAGGCCTACCCTTGGAGAGGTTGTAAGTTTCCTCCTCTGTCCTGTGGCCCACACTGTGCCCTTTTCTTCATCCGGTTCACCTACAGTCTCCTTTCCTCCATAGTTTTCCCCAACTCTTACCTCCATTTCTGTGTGTGGACTATTTGTGAAGCCACAAACCATTGAAAAAGTGGACTGAAAATGGTTAGTGGTTGCTTACCGTGGCTGTTAAACTCAAGTGGAGCTTCACCTGTAGCTGCAGATCACCTCTTACAGGCAACCTGTTAACTGATGGCAGTGTTGAAAAATCATTCCTGATCCTCAGTAAAGGAAATAGAGCCTCTAGATAAGTTCCAGGCAAATTTAAATGTGAGAAATGGGGAAGGTGTTAGCGAAGGGAAGTTGTGCTGAAACTGTTTACTTCTGCTTTGGGCTGCAGGCTACGTGGAGTGCGTTGAGGCCCTCATAAGGCACGGGAGCAACGTTGACCATATCGTTAGTTACCTGGGCTCTGCACTGTATTTGGCTTGCGAAAAACAGGAGATAGCCTGTGCCAAGAAGCTTCTGGAGTCAGGTAAAACAAAAAGTGAAACAAATTAAGGAGTGAAAATGAAAAGTAAATCATATGTGTTTAAAAGAACCTTCTATGAATGAGTGTGGGCAATAAAGTCGGACAAGATCAGGATTAATGCTGACTGTTCCCACACGAATGATTTCACAGAGTTTGGACTTTATTTTTTTCACTTGTAACTGGGGTGATGACAATAGTAGTGATGATGATGATGATACCCCCTCCCAGGGTGGTCCTCAACGGTTATTAGTTTCTCTTCCCTTCCCTGTGACTCCAACGTTCTGGCCAATCATGGTATTAGAGCCTGCAAAGCTGCTGGATTAGGCTGGAGTCTTCCTCTCTGAGACCTTCTTCACCAGTTCTCTTTGATTTGGAACTTGAACTGGCCCCATTTTACATCTCAGTAATGTAAACAGTACATTCTCTTTGAGAAGGTCTATGTACCATCCTTCCTTTTCACCTCCTTGCTTTGTCTAGTCTTCTTAACACCTGGAACACCATTCCATCACCTCTTTAACTATCTGAGTCCTGCTTATTCTTTCTCCCCCCCCCCCCGAAGAATTATTTAATTTTATTTATTCATTCATTTATTTTAATTTGACCAGAGAGAGACATGGGTGGTGGGGAGTGAAAAAGCAAGTCACCAAGTCCAGGGCTTGAACCGTGGTCAGCTATGTGGGACTTTCCAGCACCTTAACCACCACGCCACCTGCTGCCCCCCCCCAGTACTGTTTATTCTTTAAGACTCCAGTGACCTCTAAATTTTTTTTGTAAAGGCAGCGTCTTGCCATGTTACAGTCCTCCTGCCTCGGTCTCCCAGCTGGGACTACAGGTTTGGACGACCACACCTGGCTCTTTTTCAAATAAGTTCTCACTCTATTGCCTGGACTAGCCTTAAGCTTGAGATTCTTCTGCCTCAGACTCCTCCAGTCCCGGGAATTATAGATGTGCATCACCATACCTGGCTGGACCAGGTGTCAGTCTTGGTCTGTACTGGCTATAGTTAGGTTCCGATAGTATGAAACATGCAGGTTTCGTGCACCAGGTTTTTTTCTTGCATCACCTCTATGTAGCGCTCAAAGATGAGTTTTCCACTTCATATGCTCATGCTGTACATTCAGCCACATTATCACTGGCATTTTGTCCACATGATGAAATGTAATGAAATCATCACCTGTTTTCTCAGACTCGCCGTGCTCACTGTGGATCCCCCTTTGTTAGGGAATTTTGAGACTCAATGCTTTGCTGGGTTGGGGGGATGGTTGGACTCTGCTCTTTGGCTGACACTGTCTTGTTCTTGGAATTATTTAGGAGCAAGTGCAAACCAGGGCAAAGGTCTGGATTCTCCTCTTCACGCAGTGGCCAGGGTGTCCAGTGAGGAGCTGGCCCACCTGCTCATGGACTTTGGAGCGGACCCCCAGGCCAAGAATGCTGAGGGCAAACGACCCGTGGATCTGGTGCATCCAGAGAGCCCTCTGGCCCAGCTCTTCTTGCAGAGAGAAGGTGCTTCTCCTTTGCCTGAATCTAAGCCCTAATCCATAGTGACTCCTTCGGGGTCTAGTAGGCAGATATTTACTAAGTTCTGACTTCCAATCATTCTCTGCCATTCCCACAGGTGGGGAAGTGGAGATGCTATAGTATTCATGAGGCACAGTACTGGTTTTGTAGTAAATAACATCCTGCTGTTTGCCATGTTGGAGACAGGCTGTTTGGGGTGATCTACTATTCATCTATGCAGTAGGCCAGTTTTCAAAGAACTAAAATGTTTTAAAATTTTAATCTTAAAGTTATCTGAAATATACTTTAAAATTATGTCTCAGAAGCCTCTTTGGAGATGTGTGCTGTCTCACTGCACTACAGATAGGCCCAACTACCGGGGTTAAAACGCAGCTAATTCAGAATAGAGGGTCTTTATTCACACCGTTTTGAAGACATTTATATGATAAACATTGACGAGTCCATATTTCTCTGTAATAAGAACTGGCATGCCTAACCCGAATGACGGAACTTTGTGGTTGGGTAGTGTGCACAGGCATAGGGTTAATTCCCTGGGCTTTGATGTTGGGGCGGGCTCAGGTGGGGAGCAAAGGCCTCTCAGTTTGGGGAGACTGACGATCGCAATCTTAATTGCCCATAGAGGCAATTGAGCTGCTGGCTTGGTACTTATTCTCTTCCCCAAGTGTGGACTGTGTTAAGTTACAAAGGTTGTGTGACTTTGAAGCAGGCCTCCCCTCCCGAAGGATTCTGATACCAGGTAATCTGGTTATTTTCTCCCCACATGCTGGGAAGTAAGGTGGGCTCTGGGCAGAACTGTAAAGTGGCCCTAGGAAGTCCTTCTTCTTCCTATTCCCACTCTTCCTGGGTTCTGGATGCCAAGCCCCCTGCCTTGTACTCCTGAGCCATGCCCATCGGGTGGGGAAGGCTGACCGCAGGCACTAGGAACAGTCCCAACAGAGACCCCTTTATGCTATGCTATGGGATCGTCAATGGGCAATTCTACCTGCATTTGATTTTTTTTGTTTTGTTTTCACAAAATTCTTTCTATATACACAGGGCCACTTTCTCCATCAGGCATAGACAGTATTAGGGCCCACAGAAATGTATTAGTTTCCTTTAAAATCAGAAGAAAAACTGAACAAAACTGAACCTAGGTTATATTCATCTTTATACCAACACAGTTGTGAAGTATAACATGTAATTTTTTTTTAATTGGGAAAGGGATTCAAAAAGGTAAAAGTACCTCAGGACTCTCTAAAATCATAATGTACTGTGTGTGTATATAGATACACACACACACACACACAAACACACACACACACACACACACACATATATATATATATTCCCCTTCCTTGTTGAGAAATCTTACAGAACGTTGAAATTGCCTGCACTGGCTCCTCCCTTTCACTTGGATTCCTGAAACCATTCCTAGGGGACATACATTGCCTTTAGTTTCTTTAACTCACATTTCGTAAGGTGACAGTGTGGCCAGTGATCCCACTGATCTGTGAAATGTAATTTGCTGCTGCAGAGAATTTTCACTTGTTTTGCCCTACGAGTCACTTCTGGGTTCTGGTGAGGTCGCCTCTCTGTGTGCTGGAACCTCACGGGAAATGGGGCCAGGCAGGCCCAGAGAGCCAGATCTGCAGACACAAACGCAGCAAATTCTGCCTCTGAGTGTCTCTGCCAGTTCATCTGCATCAGTCCCCCTGTTTTTCTTTCTTTCTTTTTTTTTTTGGAGAGATTTTTTCGCTATAGGGCACGTGCGCTCGCTAGACAGACAGAGAGAGACATAGAGACAGAAAGCGAGAAATCACCCCCCAGGGGGAATGGTCATGCCGCAATCCCTTCTCCTCCATTCTCCTCTCGGGATCTTGGGCACACACGCACATGCGCCCGGTGTGAGTTTTAAGCCACCAGGTGCAGGAGGCGAACCGCA